CGCTGAACGATTAAACGTCGTTATGAATGCTGAAAAACACAGCAGTTTACTTAACAAAGTGCACCGCAAGAGCGCGCGCAAAATGACGCGTACTGTCCAATTACAAGCATGACGCGTACACTGTCCAGTTAATGCTCAAATCGGGCTGTTGATAGCCAATCACGTTCGAGAATTTTGTCATAGTTTTGATTATGAGAATAACCGATGAGGTTAATTTTCTGATGTGACATCTCAGAAAAAAGTTGCGGCAAAAGATGAATGAACTATTTCATAAAGAATGTTTATAAACGCATAAAAACAGCACTGGTTTCGTACTTTATAGCCAGTAAACGTAGGAATTATCTAAACTATATTTAACTGTTTATCCTTTGAATGTTGGCGTGATGCTCCATAAAGAGGAAGAGATTAGAGTAGATACTTAAATCTTTCTTCTGCCTGTGAAGGATATTTAAGGTGCGTAAGAAATTGGATTTGTTCAGCAATATTTTGTGATCTATGATGGACTAATTGAGCAGTTTGTTTTTCAAAGTTGAACAAAATGTAAGCTTCTGAATCTTTTGGGGACATTAAGTTAAGAGCTGTTTTTTGATTAAGCCTCATAAAACACCTGAAAAGGATCAAAATCTTATTAACCAATGAGAATGCCGTTGATCAATACTTTAAACAGCGTGACGTTAGCGTCTCCATAACGATACGTCACATCACCTAGCAACCGAAACATGCCCGTGTTTTGTCGGGATATAGAGCTAAACAGTTGAATTAAACCTCCTATCGTTCAACAGACAGACTTCATCTGCCTCCACAGACGTATGGACCTCCCTTCTGGAGAGATTCCTATAAAGGATGTTAGTATAAACCACAATAAACTTCAATTTATTTAAATTATTTTTAAATTAAATTAACCTCTCTAAGACGTAATAATCAAGATTTTGAAGTAAATTTGATTCTTGTTTTCAACTGTGTTATCCTGCTTGCTAACAAGTAGGCTTGAAAGACATTTTAAAACTCAAGGGTGTTTAACATTTGAGACTAATAAAAAGGGATTCTTTTGCTGCGTCTAACATGTAGCGGTCATTTAACTCTAAAGAATATAATCCCTCTAAATGACTTACAACTGCATAAACGTGTTTTAATTTTGATTTCAAGAGTTAAGAGTTGAACTTGCTTTTTATTTAAATACTTGTCTTCTGTGTTTCTTCTTAATAGCCTTAAATTAGATTTTACTCTGCGCTTTTTGTCTCTAAAGTAAAATGTGAAACGTAAATTGTTATAATAATACGCTTACAGTCCTGGGTGCATTCTTGGTGCATGCACGTTCTGTTCTCTCCCTTGTTTTCCTCAATAACCCATCATGTGTTATACGATACAGGGCCTCCCCCACAGTACACCCCAGAGGACTTGTCTCCCGAAGATCCCATACTCCAACATCCGGGAGAGTTAGATTTGGATGATCCTTCCAGTTTACCGCTTACTGAGAGACCCCCAGACCTACCACCACCCATGGCTATGTTGTCTAGCAACCGACCGATGTCCAGTAATTATCACGATGATCCACGTAAGTTGTTATATTTTTGCATCTTTAGTCTTGCCACACAGTTTCTAGGTCTGCTTTTTTTCGTTCTATAATTTCCTCCTGGAAGTTTGGAAGATTTCTGTCAGTTTTTATCACACCTTGATTTCCATGTCATTCTATTAATGAGAGTCAGATGACGAGAATAACGGAAATCATGTGTTGATGTAACCCTAAAGCCCACTCCTGGCATGTACATAAGCTTCTTATTGTTATGCTTAAGCTTATGCTTGCGTCGCAAGTAAGGACCGTGTTTAAGAATTTATCTTAAAGCGAAGTATAAAGGGGGCGTCTCAGGGAAGACTAGCGCTCACTTGTCAATCAACAGTGGACGAGAAAATAACTGCAAGATATTAATCAGTGAAGAAAATCACTGTCCTCCTCTGCTAACAGCTTGCCGCGCTGATTCTCGCAGTATTTCGGTTTGGACTAACAAATGCATGGAGCTGGTAGAAAATTCGTAACAAGCTATCCCAGCAAACAGGCGTGTTTTCTCTGACAGCAAACCTGGAGAAATTAAACTCACTTAAAATTTACCAAAATGTTCTCTAATGAGGATTTTTTTTTTAAACAAATGTAGAAGATGGACTTCCAGAACCTCCCTCATTTATACGTGACATAGTCTACCCAACAGGCAATGACAGAGATCCACGATATGATTCAGAAGACGCTATGCCTAATCATCCACCCTCACCAGGCCGGCAACGACAGGTAACGATACAAGCCGTCACGCAACGTCTCCGAACAAAAAGGCGTTGCGTGACGAACATTAAGCCCCTCTGAAGAAGAAGCAGTCTACGAGACTCAGACAAAATGTTCTGTGGTCGTCAGCCGTCTAGCCTTGAATTTCTATGCAAATTTCGAGAAGATATACCAATTCTTCCTCAAGTTGACAGTGGGAAATGTTTTGTACGCATTTTGTTTTGTTTAAGCGTAAATTTATATTGTTTTTCGTTTTGTTCCTTTCCGTAGCCTTATATCAATGTTCATGGTCAACTCGTGAGGCCCGACTCGCGAGACTCGGACGGTTTCCGGAGACCCGAATCGTTACGATCGTCAAGAGACGCGCTCACACCAGAACCGGAAATACCTCCAAACCAATGGCGTTCGCGAGGGTCTGAGTCCGACGATAATAGAGGAGCACCGGAAATGAATTACGTCAGTTATCTGGTCTAATGCAAGAAGAAGATGCTATTTTAGGCACGAGTCCCTCTCGGCTACTCTCAAAAAGGGAGAAAGAAAAGAAGTCACAGCGTTATTCTTTTTGTACATGCAAGAAGAGACTTTTACTAGGAAACATTTACTAGATTTTTAAAAAAATACAAATTAGCTACGCTAAAACAGAGAATATCTGCCCTAAAGTAAGTACAATCAGATCAATTTGTCTTCAGGCGGGAGTTCCTTCTTAAAAGTCGAAATAGTCTGAAAGAAGAACTCAAAGATAGAGCATTTATAGTTGATCCATCGTGCTATTTTATTATTTATTTTCTTTTTATGGTGCTCGCTCTCATTTAGCACTCTAAAATTCGGTGTCGAACGGAGAAACAATTCAACTGGTACACCTCATTCAACGAGTGCCAGACTGAAAAATAAGTTACTTTTTGTGAAAAACCTAGCATGCGAGAAATGAATGAGTATTTCACTTGAATGGTCAGACGATAGAATATTGAAGTTAGAATCACATAATATAATGCAATGTGTGGTTTCCGCCGTGCGCAGCGTCTTGTATATGATTATCCAGTTGTCAAGAATTAGGGTATTGTTTATAGAGGATTTATGGTTTGGTTTTGTTATAGAGCTACGATAAAAATGTAAATAAATTTTCGAGCTACCGAAAACGCAGGATGTCGTTTCTACATTACGGGAATAAGTACACCTCATGAAAATATCTCTTTGGTATTTTGTCTTAAACAGCGTTTATTCACAATGGCACGTGCAAAATTTGTGGATTGTACAAAGCGCATTTTATATATTGAATGTAGGTAGCAATTAAATATTTTTGTCCATCCACATGAACAATTTTATACTCGATATCGCTTTTATTGCCTCACAGTCCCAGTCCGTCGCTCTCCATAAAAAGACAGAGAGATCTGGTAACTGGGTTACTCTCGACATAACCGTTTTTAGGTTCCTTGTAAAATTTAAAAAGTCGTTCATTTAACAGCCGCTCCAAATATTTTGTAAAACATGCTTGAAGAATTAAAGTTAGGTTTGGTCTCATTTAAGTGCAGTGTATGGTTTCTGTATTGCACAACACGCTTGCTGGGCGCCGCATTTTCCACCCGAGACTGAGCTTTCGGGTTCAGTTCTACGCGAAAGCTCTCGGGTTTTACGCCTAAACGTTAAGGTTTTTACTCGGGAACTTTCAAGGCGAGTTCTTCGCGGGAATTTTTTGAGACGCAAGGGAACTTCGCTTAAAACTGCTGAAGTCTTCCCTCGATATTTTGCACCCTCTACCTTATGCGCTAGGCTTAGGTACAAGTATAACAGCTAACATGTACGTGTAACGATCGGGGCTGGGTATTTCAAAGACCGGTTAAGCTAAGCCAGGAATTAGCGAGAAATTTGATCTAGTTTTGAATTTTTCCTGTTAGGTTTTCTTGAATTTGAATAATCTCGAACTACACAACATAAGCAGTGAAAAATCGGCATCGTCAGGAATAAGAAAAGTATTCCGCGTAAGGCTTAAATACAAATGCAAAGTAAAAACGTGTGAAAAGCGAAAGAATTCGGACAACAACAATGTATAAGATTAATAATGTACAATTATGAATTTAAAAAAAAACGATAAAATGATCTAATGGACGAGTGTTATTGTACAAAGAGTGTCTCTCGATATGCTAAAATGGTCATTGGAACAAAACGTCCGCGAATTTGCTGCATTCCTCTCGGAAACTGAGGGTAGGTTTGCACTTTCGTATGTAAAATGCCTCGAGCAGGCGTAGGTTTGCGGGGTCTTTTTCCAGTACAATGGTCTTGATTTCGATGCCTTTGCAGACTTTGTTTTGGCACTTTGAGATATGTTCTTCACGGAGGAGTTTTCTTTGTTTATGTGCTCTCTTACACGATAGTTGATAAAGCGTGTGGTGCTCCTGATGTTAGCTCGCAAAACTGTTATTTTAACTAATTAATTTATTACTATCATTTTGTTTTTTTGTTTTTTTTAACTTTATTTTCCCTTTTGTATCACCCTGTTCCCGTGAGTACCCTACATTTTCCTTATACTCCTTAACTATATGATCTTTCATGTGCTCACTTGTCACATTTGTTTGTCTTCTTTTACCCGACTTACTATATATCGGTTGTTCAGCGGAAAATTTTCTATCTCTTATGTGGTGCTGTAGATCAGCGACAGCTTGGTACTAAATACAGTAGTTTAAGGCCTAATTCGATAGAACACTAGCTTATCCAATATGCTACTGTAGGACAGCAGTTAACGCTTACATATTTATTGATTGGAATATTATTTCCAACAGCTCTATATAAATATAAAAACAGACTGCCCTGACTCTAAGTCAAACATTACTTTTAAAAGCCACAAGGTTTAGAATGAGCATCAGCGTCTATCAAATGATGTGACTGGACATTGGAGGTGTTTCTTAATTCATTGAGCTAAATGCCCTTTAAGCTGTTACAAGAATTTCATCATCAGTTAGGCTTTCCTGCAGCAACAAGGGCATCGCGTCTCCTGCAGAAATGGAAGAAAAATAAGAGTCAGATAGGAAGTGAAACGATTCCTTTCTTTCCACTCCTTCCCTCTAAAAAAAAATATAGAATGGTCAGAGAATATGACTTTTAGCAGTTAGGTAAAATAGTTGTTAATTATTACAGTACGGGTAGGGGCTGTCTGTAATATCTAGCATGGTCATTAGATGTGTAATAATAATAAAATTCTTTTGAAATAGCCAAAAATCGTATGTAATAAATATGCCACGGACAAATCACAATCGCAAAAGAATAGAAGTTGTGAACCAGGGAGCGAAATCTTCGTAACGTTTGCAAACTAAATTTTTATCTGTCGCTACTAAATCACTTAAGCTTAACCTCGATGATTCTGGGTGTCACAAACACCTCACCGAATAGTTTTGTAATATGTAAGAGTTCACTTTAAATGTAATCTCTCATGCGAAATCCCTAATCTTTTTTCTTTTTTTTTAACACAACTGTCCCGTAGCAATTAAATTTTTCCATTGGCGGATACCTTCATTTGTTTCCTTTGTAGACTCTTGAAGGTAGATTTTTACACTCCGTCCAAACGTTCTCCGCCGGTAGTTTTTACGAATCAAGAAAACGAAAATTAAGACAACGATAACGCCAAGGATGGCAGTTGGGATTGTCCAGTATGGAAAGTGATGATTCTCCTTGTTGTTTATCAGTGGCAATGATGAAAACCTCTTGGTTGGTGACGGCTTGGTAAATGACGAATTGGTTGGTAAAGGTTTGGTTGGTAACGACTTAGTAGCAGTAGACGAAGGCCTGGTGGCTGACGACTTGGTTGACGAAGGCCTGGTAGCTGACGACTTGGTAGACGAAGGCCTGGTAGCTGACAGCTTGGTTGACGGAGGCCTGGTAGCTGATGACTTGGTTAGCAAGGTCATGGTTGGTGATGACTTGGCTGCAATTGGACAGAGGAAGAAAAAGAAGTAAACTGTGTGCGCTATAATAGTTCGGTTAAACTGTTTTTCTCGTGCATTTCAAAAGTAACTTAACAGTTATGTTTTTATTACCTAAAACGTCGACATCTAACTAATGGTTATTTTTCCTCAATTTCGATTATAGCGAAGGCTCCGGGTCAATAAATTCTGTCAGTTCTGACAGATTTTGCCAATCCCTAGTACGATTAAGAGCACATTGGATTCATCTCAATCCTGTCACCATTATAAATCACAGAACTTGTATGAAGTGTTTGTTGAAAGCCAAAATTCAGCTGCGTTTGAAAATATAAATTTAGATTCCACGAGGAGAGGAAAAAAAGATCTCTCAAGCACCATGTGAATAAGCATACTTTGATCTGTAGAGGTTAAGCACTGTGACAATTGCTTCAAGTTTACTAGTGTCGCTGGACGTTTCAAGTTTAAATTCGTATTAACAGTCGCACGAAGGCCATCCCTAGTAAGAAAAAGCAAAACTCTAATTGAAAGACGCTTCATTTCCACAAACAAAACCTTCAAACTTACTGCTAGAAACATGTCTGACCAATAGAAATATAGTAGGAATCAGGAGCCATAATCGGGGACGGAGACCGTAAGTCTTGGAATCCGCCCGCACCTCAACCTCGTTCCCAGGGTCTCTCATCTTACCGCCCCCTGGAGCGAGCGAAGAGAGACCCTGGTTGGGTCTGGTCACGTGCCTCCCAGAATCTGGCAGGTGACAATTAAATTATTGAAGGGATGGGCGGCCTAGTAGGAATTTTGTCTATACTTAGCCTACGGGAGTTCGGGAAGTGTTGTCACCAAAGTAAACC